CCCCCCCCCGTGTGACCCGTGCCCTCGAACGGGGACACGGGGTCCCCCCCGCTCCCCTGCGGGTCTCGGCCCGTGTCCCCCCGTCCCCAGCCCCGCAGTGTCCCCGCTGGCCCCATCCCCACGTCCCCGCCGATCCCGGTCCCCCCCGCCGTGTCCCCCCCCGCTGTACCCCACGATCCCATCCCCGTGTCCTCACTGTCCCCACCCCCGCCGTGTCCCCCCCGTCCCGTCCCCGTGTCCCCGTGTCCCCTCCCCACGCCGGCGGTGCCCGGGGGTCCCGGGGGTCCCCTCCTCGCCGCCGCCGCGGCCCCGCCGGCCGAGCCCGGGGACCCGGCCGGTCCCGGAGCCGCCGGTGCGGGCGGAGCGGGGCCGGGCCCGGCGGGGAGGGGGGCCCCGGACCCCCGCAGTGCCCCGGGTGGGAGCGGGGGCCGCGGGCCGGGCTGCCGGGGAAGGGGTCCGGGTCCTGCCTCTCCCCCCACCCTCCGCGGGGTCCCCCGAGCCGCCGCCAGACTCAGAGGAGCTCATTTTCCACCCTGAAGAAACTTTCCTGGCTTGACCTTTCCTTCTTTTATTGGGATTTTGTGGAGCAGAGGAGGGGGGAGGGAGCGGGGCAGCTCCGGTCCGGGGGGCAGTGCTGGCACCCACCAGCCCAGCCCTGGCCCCGCTCCCTGTGCCGCATCCGCGGGGGCTGTCCCAGAGCCCCGCTCGGCCGAGGGGGCGGCGGGATGGGGTCCTCGGGCAGTGGGATGGGGTCCTCCAGCCCTGTGTCACCCGGGGGTGCTCCCAGGGGACGGGTCCTTCGGTCCCACAACACCCGGGGGTGCTCCTGAGGGATGGAGTCCTTTGGACCTGCACCCCCCAGGGATGCTCCTCTGGGATGGGTCCCCCCCTGACCCAGGGATGCTCCTTGCCCAGGCTGGGAGCAGGGACGGGGCTGGCGCGGGGCCGGGACACGCCCGGCCCACAGGACGGAGCCGTTCCCCGTCTGTCTCCCGGGGCTGGATGCTGGGAAGGTTTTTGTTCTGGCATCTCCCGCATCCTGCCGAGGCGCTGGAAAGGGCCCAGGGGGGGCGGCCGTGACTCAGCCCCCACGTGATGGGACTTTCGAGGTTTGCAGAAGTGCCGGCCCCTCTCCGCCCGCTCCTGGCCCCGTTCCCGGCTCCGGGGGCCAAGGCACACAGCCCGGCGCTGCGATTGTGCCTGCTCAGCACTTCCCGGGATGTCAGGAATTTCCTGGTGCCGTTGGCCGGGGGTCGGCGGCTGCGTCCCGGCACCAGCGCTGCCAGATCCCGCTGCCGAGGTGCCTTAAAGGCGCCGCGGAGTGTCCCGGCAGGAATCCCACTGGATGCTGCCCTGGCCCCCCCAGCACCCCCCAGCCAGAGGGGGGGCGGCAGCGGGGCCAAACCCACCCCCCAGCCGTGCTGCTGCTCTGGGACAGCCCCCGGCACTGGATGAGAAGTCCCAGGTCCTTCCCGCAGGGATGCTCCCAGTGCCAGCCCGTGCCCTGCCCGGGATTGCCCCGACCTGGCTGCACCTGGCCTGGCTGAACCCTGTCGAGTGTGCCCAGGCCCCCCCGGGTGGCCCCGTCCCTCTGTGGTGTCACCTGCACACGTGGGGGACAAACCCCCCTGCAAAGGTGGGGAACGAGTCCCTCTGCACCCCCGGAGCAGGGGCCAAACCCTCACAGGGCTCTGGGCACACCGGGGGCTGCGGGTCCAGGGGTGCCCCAGGCTGGTTCCACAAGGTTCCAGGTGGTTCCATGGCCCTTGGGGTGCCGGGATGTCCCTTTATGACTTGGGGGCCACTCTGTGCCGGGGGCCACTGTGACCCTGGGGGGTTCAAGGGTGCAGAGCCGGGGGTGCCACTCCCAGGAGAGCCCCTCCCTGCGGAGGCAGCAGCTCCAGGACCCCTCTGTGGCACAGGAGGATGGAGATGCCCACGGGGAAGGCAGAGCCCAGCTCCCATCTGGCCCAGGGAATGCTGAGCCCCTGGTCCCAGGAGGGACAGGGGACAGTGGCCCTGGAGGAGGAGGAGTGGGGAGTCTGCAGCCCCCGGGAGCTGTGCCAGGGGGAACGTGGCAGAGCCCCACTGCTATCCCAAGGGGTGTGCCAGGGGAAAGCCAATGGATACAAAGATCTGTCCCAGTGGTCAGAACTAATCAACCAGGAGATGTCCCAGATGGAAGAATTCATTGACCAGCAGCCCTGCCCAAGGAAAGCCAAGAGACAGCAGGAACTGTGCCAAGGGCAAGGCACTGGACACAAAGAACTGTCCCAGTGGGAAACCCTCATCAGCCAGGAGAAGTCCCACCGGGAAGACCACATGGAGCAAGGGCTGTGCCAAGGGAAAGCCAGGACACACCCAAAGGGGGGCCAACAGGAAGGTGAGAGAGACCCAGAGCTGTGCCAAGGGAGGGTCAATGGGTACAGAAGTCTGTCCCAATGGGAAGAATTAATCAACCAAGAGATGTCCCAGATGGAAGAATACATCGACCAACAGCTGTGCCAAAGGAAAGCCAAGAGACACCAGGAGCTGTGCCAAGGGCAGGTCAGGGGATACAGAGAACTGTCCCAATGGGAAGACTTAATCAACCAGGAGATGTCCCAGATGGAAGACTTCATTGACCAAGAGCTGTGCCAAGGGAAAGCCAAGAGACACCAAGAGACACCCAGAGCTGTGCCAAGGACAAGCCAAGAGACCCCAGGAGCGGTGCCAGGGGGAGGTCAGGGCATACAGAGATCCCTCCCAATGCTTCATCAACCCACAGATGTCCCAGTGGGAAAGACTCCACTGCCCAAGGGCTGTGCCAAGGACAAGCCAGCAGAACAGGCAGCACATCCCCACCCTCCCCACCCGTGCCAGGGCTCAGCACCCTCCAGCCCACTGCCCACCTTGGCCCCCAGGGCCTTCCCCCCCTGCCCTGCTCTCCAGCCCCCCAGCCCCGCCAGGACCCAGCCCAGCTCAGCTCAGGGAAGTTCAACTTCCCAGGGAGTTCATCCAGGCCTCCCCTTCCCCACCCACCCCCCTGCAGCCCCCAGGGAGGAATGGTGCCCACGTGCTCCCCAGAGAGGCAGCGGGTGCCACACGGTCCAGCCACCAGGAAATAAATTATAGGAATCCAAGGAATTCCTGCCACCAGGAAATAAATTATAGGAATCCAAGGAATTCCTGCCACCAGGAAATAAATTATAGGAATCCAAGGAATTCCTGCTGCGGCTCCACTGGCTGTGAACAGTCCAGGGGAGGGGCTGGGAGCTCCAGAGGGGTCCCTGAGTTGGGAATGTCACCACAAAACACGGGGCTGGGGCAGGGTGAGGCACATGGCCGGGCAGCAGGGCAGGGAGTCCTGGAATCAGCAAATCATGGAATTGTTTGGGTTGGAAAACCCCTCTGAGACCATTGAATCCAACTGTCCCCCAGCACTGCCAGGGACACCCCTGACCATGTCCCCAGTGCCACACCCACAGGGTGTTAAATCCCCCCTGCCCTGGGGAACAGCCCTTTCCAGGAGCAATTTTCCCCATTTCCCTCTCCTCCTGTCCCTTGTTCCCTGGGAGCAGAGCCCGACCCCCCAGGTCCCCCCTCCTGTCAGGGGGTTGCAGAGCCAGAAGGTCCCCCCTGAGCCTCCTTTTCTCCAGGCTGAGCCCCCCCAGCTCCCTCAGCTGCTCCAGCCCCTTCCCCAGCTCTCCACCGGAGTCTCTCCATCAATCCCCTGGATTCTCCAGTGTGACCCAGAGTTACCAAACCCCAAGGAATGACCCCAAACACAACCCTGGGGTAACTATACAGTGAGAACATTTATTTCCTGCCAACACTGGGACCAGTCAGTCCCACGCCAGGTGACTGGAGACACAAATCCACCCCAGCAGCTCCGGGGTCTCCTCCCAGCTCCAATTCCCACACCACAAACGCTCCTTCCTGACCCCAAACGACACATGGAACCCAAACACACAGCACTGAGTGGCCCCAAAGTGTCCCTCTGTCCTCCATCACCTGGAGCTCGGCTCTTCCCCGTCGTTATCCTGCTGCTTGGCCATGAATTTCTGTGGGAACAAGGGGAGAGGACGCTGCAGGGATATCCCAGGATCACATTCCAGAGGCAGGGCAGGTGTCAGAACACCTGGGCTCCAGCTCAGCCTGCTCCTCCCTCTGCCAGGGGGGATCTGCCCCAAAACACCCCAGTTTGGCTCCCAGGCAAACAGCTCGGGAAGCTCCTGAGGGGAACGTGGCCAAAGCTCAGGGATCATCCCCACAATGACACCCGGGCATGGAACAGAAAACATTCCACATTCCCACGGGCTGTGTGTTCCCAAAGCCCCGAGGGGTGACCAGGAGCCCCCCAGAGCCCTGGGTCTGGGGCTGTTCCCTTTTCCCAAATCCCTGAGGGGTGACCAGGAGCCCCCCAGCCCCGGGCCTGGGGCTGTTCCCTGTTCCCAAATCCCCAAGGGGTGACCAGAAGCCCCCCAGAGCTCTGGGTTTGGGGCTGTTCCCTGTTCCCAAACCCCTAAGGGGTGACCAGGAGCCACCCCAGCCCCAGGTCTGGGGCTGTTCCCTGTTCCCAAATCCCTGAGGGGTGACCAGGAGCCCCCCCAGCCCCGGGTCTGGGGCTCTTCCCTGTTCCCAAATCCCTGACGGGTGACCAGGAGCCCCCCAGCCCTGGGTCTGTTCCCTGCTCCCAAAGCCCCAAGGAGTGACCAGGAGCCCTCAGAGCCCTGGGTCTGGGGCTGTTCCCTGTTCCCAAATCCCTGACGGGTGACCAGGAGCCCCCCCAGCCCTGGGTCTGTTCCCTGTTCCCAAAGCCCCAAGGAGTGACCAGGAGCCCCCCCAGCCCCGGGTCTGGGGCTGTTCCCTGTTCCCAAAGCCCCAAGGGGTGACCAGGAGCCCCCCAGCCCCAGGTCTGGGGCTGTTCCCTGCTCCCAAAGCCCCAAGGAGTGACCAGGAGCCCCCCAGCCCCGGGCCTGTTCCCTGTTCCCAGGGTACCTCCATGTTGTGCCGGTGCAGGGGGGTCCGGCAGTGCTGGATCATGGAGGGCTCGTCGGCGTAGAACAGGGAGCAGATCTGGCAGAAGAACCCGGCCTTGGGCACCAGGATGTCCAGGGCTGAGGGAGCAGCACACGACAGTCACCACACGCAGCTCCAGACACACCCCAACCCCACACTCCCTCCCCAAACTGGGGGAATTTGGGGTTCCTGGGTGGAAATCACAGAGTTTCAGCCTTCAAAAAACCCAGTTTCTCACTCGAGCTGGTCCCTGTTTCAACCCACACATCATTTCCATGGGCAATAGCCACAGCAATTTCTGGGAATTTTTTGGATCTGAAGGTCCCTGCAACTTCCTCGGCATCTTCTGGCCTTTGAAGTGTTTCATCTCCAACTCCTGGGCCAGGTGTGGCTCTGCAGTGTCCCACCAGCCCCATCCTCCCAGGGAATGTCCCCCAAGCCATCAGACCAGGAGCCAGATGTTCCCAGCAACTCCTTTTCCAGTTCCAGTGTTCTCAGCAGTTTTATGGAAAAGGAATTTAGAGGAGGATCTTATTTAAAAAAAAGGAAATATATCTCTACACCCCCACTTCAAAGCTGTGTCAGCTTTGTTCCCTCCCCCTTCCTAGGCATGGAAAGTTGGGAATAAAACTCATCCCAGGATGGGAACGCTCAGGAGGTATCCCCCTGCCCTGTGCTGACCATCAATAAATTTGCCTGTATTTGTAAATTTTAGGAAAAGAGTACTTTCCCTGTTGAGCTTTCAACTGGTTAAACATGGATTTGGAGGAGCAAAGGGAAAACCCATGGATTCTGGGCCCTGACTTCGAGGTTCAGTGTGGTGGTAGGACACGGAAGGAGTTTTAAACAGACAGGAAAGTCCTTCCTGCCAGGAAAGCCTGGAGAGTTTGGGGTGGTTCCTCTGGATTTACCTTTGGGAGCGCTCTGTGCCTTGGGGACACCCAGAACAGTCGCTTTCTTCTGCTTGGACTCTGGTTCTGCCCCCCCTGATCCCAGCTGAGCTGCTGGAGACAGAAATGCACCTTGGAATGGAATCATGGAACGGTTTGGGTTGGAAGGGACCCAAAGCCCATCGATCCCACCCCCGCCATGGGCAGGGACACCTCCCAGCAGCCCAGGTGGCTCCAAGCCCCCTCCAACCTGGCCTTGAGGTCCCTCACCTTTTGGCTTGGAGATTGCAGAGATTTCCTCTTCTGGATTTGGATCCCCCAAAATTCCTATTTCTTCTAGTCCTGCAACAGCAACAATGTCCTCCTCCTCTGGTCCTGCACTGGCAGCGATTTCCTCTTCTTCTGGCCCTGCCACAGCAACGATGTCTTCCTCATCCTTGTCCTTGTGTGCACTCTTCCCTGGGGAAGCGCTTTCCTCCTCCTCCTCCTCGTCCCCGACTTCGTCGACCGTGACGAAGTTCAGCTCCTCTTTGAGGTGGTTGAAATCTGCCAGGAAATCGTCCTCCTCCTCGTTCACCTCGTCCAGGGTCACCAGGGGGTTGTCCTCGTTGTCCTCCTGGAGCTCATCCACGGTCACCAGGGCCGCGGGGTCGTCGGGCACCTGGGAGGATGCGAAGTCCGCGGCGCCGCCCTTGCCCTCCTCGGCGCCCAGCTCCGCGGGCTCGTTCAGGGGCAGCTCCTCCATCTCCTCGTTCAGGGGCAGCTCCTCCACCTCCTCGTTCAGGGGCAGCTCCTCCACCTCCCCGATCTCATCCACCGTCACCAGGGGCTCGGCCTTCAGGTCCCGCTCCTTGAACCCGGGCTGGGGGAGGTCCCTGTGGGCTCCAGGCTCCTCCTGCTCCGAGATCTCGTCCAGGGTGAGCAGAGCCTGCGGGTCCTTCACCGCCTCCGACAGCTCCTCCTCCTCCAGCACCTCGTCCACCACCAGCAGCCCCTGGGGGTCCCCTGGTGGGGCAGGTGGCTCCTCCTCCTCCCCAATCTCATCCAGGGTGACGAAGGACGGCTCCCCCTTGGCCCCGGAGCCCTTCCCTTTCCTCCTCTTGGACGCGGGCTCCGACGGGCTGGGCTTGGCTCCCTCTTTCCTCTTGCCCCTGGGGGAGTTTCGCCGCGGCACAACCGGAGACTCCACTTCTTCCACCACCTCGTCCACGGTGACAAACTCGTCCAGGTTAAACGGGAACAGCTCTTCCTCCTGGGAAGTGTCAAAGTGAGAATGTAACATTCAACTTCACCCCCACCCACAGCCTCGGGAGGAACATCCACAGCCCGCCTGCAGGGGGAAAAACCAACTCCATGTGAGGGCAGGGAAAACTGTCCAGGCCTTCAGTCCCAGGGGGGAGGAGCCTTGTGCTAATTCACTGGATTTCACTAGGATTTAATTCAGGAAACCAAAGCACTCTGCGAAATCCCAGTGGATCAATTGACAGCATCCCACAGTGCCCGGGGTGGGAAGAGCAGCCTGGCACCGTTGGCTGCCTTTGGCAAAGGGACTGGACACCACGGGCTGGGAACAGAGATCTGGGGCAGCTTTGGGTGGTGCTTTAGGGCCAGATGGTTCCCAGGGATGGATTTCATGGCATCTGATCCCAGCTGGGGCTTCCTGGCGGTCCCGGCTCCTGGGAACAGTGACCGAGAGATCTGGGGGGAACCCACCACGTGGGAAGATCCCAAAGCAATTCCAGCATCCCAGAGCCCACAGCACCAACACTGGGTGCAGGAAGGGCAGGGACTTGGTGATCCCACTGCATGGGAGGTGGGGAAGGATTCCTGAGAGCAGCACCCAGGCCTGGGGTCAAGGAACCATGGAATGGTTTGGGTTGGAAAAGACCTGAAATCCCACCCAGAGCCAGGCCCTGTCCATGGGCAGGGACACCTTCCCCCAGCTCAGGTTGCTCCAAGCCCTGTCCAGCCTGGCCTGGAACATCAAACCTCACTTTTCCAACACCCTCTGCACCTTCAATCCCCCCATGGTTCCATCCTTACCTCCTTCTGCTTCCCACTGCTGCCAGCGCCACTGGTCCTGTCCCCACCAGGACCCTGCAAAACGAGAGTGGAATTCCCATGGAACGGGGTCAGCCCCTGCCCCGCTCCCAGGAGACCAAACCCACCACCAGACTCGGCTATTCCTGGCCCCGAGGAGCTGCTCTGGGATGTCCCCAGGGCTGCTCCTGCTCCGGGCTGGGCAGAGCCAGCGCTCCAGGGACCGACCACCAACCATGAGGTGACACCTCAGGAGCCTCTTCCCAGCTCCCAGTGCCTGTGCAGGACTGGGCACAGCAAATCCCAGCTCCCAGTGCCCGTGCAGG